CAAATTTCAAAATTTTTTCTCTGTCCCTTCATCCAATACTAAATATTGTACCATTAAGTACTATATTATATTAAGTACTATAAGTATATATATTAAGTACTATAAGTATATAATCCCGAAACCACCTCCATATATCTAGACCACACATGGTAAAAGCCTATAATACCAAAATTCTGATTTCAAGCAAAATCTCTTCACTCAATACCAAATTGTACCAAATATAGTATTATTTTGTAATTTTCATGCAATTGTAGTACACAAATTTCGCAAAAATTCTACCAATAGGAACCCCAGTACAAAATTTACAAATTCCAGCTTCATCCGTTCACCCTACACCAAACTGTTTAAAATTTTTGTACCGTTTAGTATAGTTCGCTCACATACAGGGTGAGTTCAAAAAAATGCAACCAAATTCAGACTGCTGTCATTTCTAAGCTACTCGTCCGACAGCTGTTAAAATTATTCCGTTGACAGCTCATCATATTATTTACAAGCGTACAAAAGCATTTTGGTGAGAATTTTCCAGAAAAAAGTTATTCGTGATGAAATTCCAGCGTGATAGGGTGATACTTGTCACAGAGGTCAGCTGAAAATGTGCACCTTCGATTGGCCACCAGAACTCAAGCCGGCCAGGGTGATGGTGTGGACCGCCCCAAAAGCCGAGAGTCGCTCTCCGCTTGTATTAATCGACCGTGGCATCAGAATAAATGCCGAATATTATGGCGAACATATTCTGGAGGGTGCATTAAGGCCTTGGGTACGAAAACATTTTGGCCGCAGATTTTGGACTCAGCACGCGCCACCAAAAATGGGCCAAAATACCGCAGAGCAGCATTCGGGCAGCGTGTGATGGTTTCATTGGCCGTTTTAAGGCCAAAATTCGTACCAAAGGTGACCAATTCGAATAAATCTCAACATATTCTAAAATTTGATGCTATTTCCGACATTTTTTGCTTTTAAAAAACAAATGTAAACATTATAGGGTTTGATTTTATTGCAGTTTTTAATCTCACCCTGTAGTACACATTTCCAAAACCACCTCCATCTTCACATAACACCAAATGGCATTATTTTAGACGTTTAATACCATTTCAGAAATTTTCAATTTTCATTTTCAAAAACCCTTTGGAATATATATGTATTTTGCAGTGACTGACATTCCAGTTTTCATAGAATTTCAAATTTGATTATTTTCTTTTCATACCCTGCATTATCACGCGTCTACAAACCAAGACTGACCCTCGCGCAAAATTTCAGATTTCTAGCTTTGCCGGAGGTTGCTTCTCAGTCAGTCAGCTACTTCGCACCGTGTAAATATGCACTAAAATTAGATTAATTATAAAAATATAATATGTCTGTCCAATCTTTATGTGATGACCCAAAACAATCTCAAATTTAAAATATTTCGTTGATGTTCAATGTTCACCTAAGCAATTATATAACTTGTCGATTCGCTGAAAGGTAAACGTCCAATGTTTTCCTTTATTATTTTAATTTTTTCGCTATTGCAATTACAAATTTGACATTTCCTTTTTGTCGCTTTCAATTTACAAGAAATCTCTTCATGCAAAAGCCTTTCATGCAAATAATATTCGTTTCAGAGCTATGAGGGGAAAAAACGACCCAAAAAATATTTAATTCCAGTGAAATTGGCTCCCGTAGTTGGAATATTCCAAAACACTGACGTTCACGTTCATAGTTCACATGTCCGCTTGCCATGCAGTGACAGTTCCCAGCATCAGCGCAGCAACGTCTTAACGAAAACACACAATTCTCTGGCATGAAACTCCTTACGGCGACAGGACGTAACTGGCGACATGGTTAGTGCACATAGTGTGTCCTCATCTTCCATTCACATTCACATTTTTTTTTTTTGTGCAAATTACAATTCCAACGTAAGTGTCTGACAGCAAAAAAAAAAAAAAAAAAAACAATGGGGAAACTGAGCGGCAGACATGTTTTGCAGCATTCAACCAGGAAATACGAAAAGAACAATGACACCATGCATAATAATTTTATTAAAACCATTACCATTTTATTATTTTTAAAACAGAGATTTCCGTTGCTTTCAACATTTGTTTATTTGCGAGTCGTTAAGACGGTTGTGACAATGGGTGGCTACCGTATAGCAATTGTTTCATTTAATTAACATGCAGTCGCAGCGATGTTTTTGGTTGAGTTTAAATGCGTTTTTTTTTCTAGGGAATTTATTGAAAAAATGCAGATGATGACAAATATTCCACGAATTTTTTGCCATTATTATTGTCAATATATACCTTAAATACACGAATTTTCAAGAACCTTAATACAAGTATTTTCAAACTAAGCTAGGAAGGAAAGTTCAAAAGTCGTACGGGGCTAAATATGCGATATCCTATAAATGTACTATACAGCTACCCGTACCATATAATTGTTTATATTAGGAATTTATGGGAAGTAGGCTATACCAACTATGGACCTCTTGTGGAAGCGTATTATGGATTTTGAGCAATTATAAATTGGAATCAGGTGGAACGAACAGATATTTCACATTCAAAAATTTTTTTCAATGTATATTGAACTTTATAAAATCTGATATAGTACTGCAAAAGTTTTTTCATTGCTTTGACCGAAACCACGAGTTCAAACAATACTTGAAAAACGATATTCCTCTATATGATTTCCTGTATCTTCGATATTTGGATATATTCGTCAACGAAATCAACATCAATGTAAAGAACAGAAATGAGCCTCTCATGTATTTGTAATTTCGTTAATTTTTTTATTTTTTCATACAAAAATGTTGGTCCACCAGCCAAGTATAATCCGCTCCAGTATGATAAAACAAGAAAGCAAAGACTATAGCCGCTGTCCTAAACTCTTACTTCATGCGAGATTTTGTGTCCTTTGGTTTCTATTGTTGACCTTTACACACAAGGAGCTCCATGTGGGTACTTTATGTCTTGGAAGAGAATTATCTATATCCACACTAGGAGTCCCTTATGAGTATTTCACCCCCTGAAGAGAGAATTGTCTATATAGGTCCACGATATCGTATATCCCCCCTATAACGGTACCCCCCGATATTCGGTATTTTTATGAATTTAGACGCATTTTTTTAAACGGAACTGTCTGAAATTCTACATAAGGAGTTTTTGTGAGTACTTTATAGTACTTTGTCTATATAGGTCCACGATATCGTATACCCCCATATAAAAGTAGCCTCCGATATTCGGTATTTTGATGATTTCAGCCACATTTTTCAAAATATTCACGGTTTAATGGAAAATTTGACTTTTATTTAACACAAATGTTATGGCCAATTTCACCCACTAAATATTACCCGATGACCATCAAAAATGGAAGGCTCCTGTCAAGCACTAAGATCTAGCCCCATGCTAACTGCGACCTGTAGAGCAACTACAAAATCGGGAAATTTTTCATTTCTTGGTCCATTTCAACCCCCAAATATTATGCGATCTTCTCCAAAAGCAATAAGCTTCAATTCTGGTCCTGGCCCCACCACCATTTTAAATTTCGTGAAGATCTGGCCATAATTGTGACCTGTAGAGTGGTTGCAAATTAACATGAACAGACGACTCAGCTCGACGAGATTGTGGGATCCATATATACTTTCCTATGTGGGAAACCAATATTTCGAGTTGTTACATAATTTGTGACCCAATCAAACTTATAATACCCCCGACACATAGTGTTGTAGGGTATAATGAGTACTAATTTGAGTAAATGAGAGAAGTAGCGGGCACTTGTTAGTACCTTATATAACTATATCTCCGACCACATTTTCTAACGAAATTGATTCAAAATCGGTACTTATGACGGTTTATTGTATGTATGTAGGTTCACCTATAGCCTCCCAATTTCGATACGTCCCGATATTCGATGTACTGATGATTTTAGTCACATTTTTAGGTGGACTCGTTTAAAATTCGGTATATGGAGTTTGTGCAGAGTTCTCTTTTTCATGGCAGAGGACTGTTAGAATAGGCCATTTTATATATTATCCTCAAAGCGGTACCTCAGAATTTTAATTTTTGGCGATTTTAGCCGTATTGTATTGTAGAATATTTCTATCTAATATGGTCACTAGTTAATGGAGTTTTTGAGTGTTGTTGAAGAAAAGATAACCTCTTAATGCCTCGACTAAAATGTAATTTGTTTTACAAAAAATTTCCCCTGATCAGCGTAAAATTCTAAATCGATTTAGCGATGTCCGTCTGTCTGTCACATCCCTATATTCGATATTTTGGTGATTTTAGCGACATTATTAACCGGAATTGTTTCAAATTTAGTATTTGAAGTTCGTAATGGATACTACAGCCTATGACAGAAAATTGTCTGTGCAGATCCACATTCAGTACCTCCCTATATTCGGTATTTTGACGATTTTAGGTACAATACCCACCGAAATTGTTTGAAATGTCGTATTTGAAGTTCGTAATGGATGCTACAGGCTGTGACAGAAAATTGTCTGTGCAGGTCCACGTCTTCGTGTAGGCCCCATATATCAGTACCTCCCTATATTCGGTAGGTACAATACCCACCGAAATTTTTTGATATGTCGTATTTGAAGTTCGTTATGAATGCTATAGCCTGTGACAGAAAATTGTCTATGCTGGTCCAGGTCTTCGCACAGCTCCGATATAACATTACCTCCCTATATTCGATATTTTGATGATTTTAGCTACATTATTCACCGTTTATTTCAAGTTTCGAATTTGAATATGGTAATGGCTTTTAACTTTTTAAGGATTTTATTTTGTTGTAAACTTTCATATACGTTCCTCATATTTGTAGCTCTAATTCCATAATATTTTCGGTGTTTCGTGTTTATGTGGAAAATAGTTTAGTTTTGTATCACTCAGAATTATTGCTGTGCTATATTCCTCTAAACTATGTTACTAAAGGTACAATTTTAATCCATAATATGCCCCAACAAATTAAGGTTAAAAATTCTAAATTATTAAAAATTCATAAATGCAAATTATGTAATATTTCAGCATGTTTTATTTCAAGAGCGAAAGAATATAATGAGAGTAACTATATAATGAACAGCAGCAGCATTATTCAATTTCCCTTTCCAGTCAAATCCTATAAGTCGACTCCCCAGTACATTGCCTGCACTTAACCGCTCTTGCGAACGGGTCTGCATCTCTGGGGTTTCTGGCCTGGTTTCATGCCAGCACATTGACGACGATCGGTTTGACTCAAACGATTCAATGGATTACGCAGGCAATTTGCTCGCTCGGCCTGGCAGACATTCAAGAGACGACAATTGTTCTGGCGACAACGATAGCAACGGGCGGTTTTGTCCGGATTGCGACATTTCAAACGATTGCAATCACGTTTTGGTGTTGAACGAGGGCGGCGAACCTTGGCACAGGCTCCTCTACGATTAGGCGATTTTATATTGCGACAACGTCCAGAGGCAACGGGTGATAGGGCTACAATATATAATATAATTGATTAAGAGTTGGAAATCATTTCGTTTCCTATAATTTCGAATTACCTGGCCGATTTGTAAGACGACGACGACAATTCTCCTCCGCCAGCTGACATTGGCTCAAACGATGGCAAACCTGTTGCTTACCATCTGTGGCACAAACCGCCTTGCTGGGCACATTGGGTTTGCACACCGGTCTACAACCACGATTGGCATGTACACTGACCACCAGGACCAGGGCTAGGAAAATGTGGAAATTATTTTCGATAAAAAGTCCTTGATGGTCAAGTTTCCTTAAACTTACCAAAAATGCAAATAACTTTTAACATTTTAATGTTTCAGTGATTGTTGAATGTGAACAACTATCGATAACTTTCCCAATCACTGGGGCTCTTATATACTTAAATGGACAATAAATTGAATTTATTGTATCCAAAGAAATTATAAAATATCTGTCCCATTTTCCAATATAAAAAATGAAAATAATAATTGCAGTTGTTTAAAATTGTTTTATTGTTATTTACAAACCAGCTATCCATACAAGGAAGCTTTAGGTAGTCCAGACGTAAACAACAGGTGATCTTTATAATAAAATGTTGTCGTAATATTGATATCTTGTCTTGAATATATCATATTGTTTCATTGATTTTATAAAATAAAACATTAATAAAATAAGGAAGTCCCAATTAAATTAAAAGAATGTGCCCACGAATAAAATTCGCATACCGAGGTATTATTTAAACTTCTTAAAGAGGACATGTAATTTTCTATGAAACTGAAATTCCTGGTTCGTCTGGAAATTATTCAGAACTGAACAAGGCTCTAAATTTTTGAAGAATCATAACTCGTATAAAATGTAAAATAAGCATCCGATTCTCCTTAAATTTCGCACATGTAAATATTTTTTCTAACGCAAGATCTGGTGTGAAGATGGTTTATATGGGCCTACTTCTTCTGGTACCTCCCCCACAAAGGGGTAAACATTTTGAATAACCATGAAGCTTATAAAACGCGAAAAGAGTTTCCGATTCCATTCAAACTCGGCACATCCCACTACTTCTATTAACACAAGATCAGTTGTAAAGATGGTATATGTCCGACCATTTATGATTGTAATTCCCCCAAAATGGGTTAAGATATTGAATAATTATATCTCTCATATGTTTAAATATTTTTATTAACAAGGTCTCGCGTGAAGATGAAGGGAATGCCTAAATATCGGCCTACCCCTCTTGATGTCTGATTAAAAAAAATATATACTGGAGATGCCAAGAGGAGTTGATCGATGTTTGTACCAGACCTTAACCAGACATAAATATTACGATGTGCCGAGTTTCACCACTATGTGTTGGGGTATTTAAGTTTTATTGGGCCAATAAATATGTAACTTCTCGAGATATTGGTCCTGGACATAGGACATATATGGATATCTCTATCTCACCGAACTGAGTCCATCTAGTGTGTCCATTTAATGAGCAATCACGCTACAGGTCACAATTTTGCCACGATCCTCCGTAATTCTACATAGTGGTGGTAATTACGGTCAGAATAGAAGCCTATCTTCGAAAGTAGATTATCTTAAAATATATAGGCATATTCAGAACCCTGCCCTTTTAAATCCCGGCGAAATCAAAAATACATTAAAAAGTAAGTTTTGACCGTTACAGTGAAGCTGATAGCCAACACATCGGATATACAGGGTGGGATGAAAACACAGCAAATACTGCTGTAATTTCTAAGCCACTCGTCCGACCGCTGCTAAAATTATTCCAGTGACAGCGTACAGCATTTGCTGAGAATTTTCCAGAAAAAAAGTTATTCATGATGGAATTCAAGTGTAATTGTGTGATTTTTTTATATTTGGATGGAAAACCACAAGGGGCTATCGTTAGAGCACTCCAAATGCAAATGTGAATAATTTTTTTTTTGTCTCTTACCATCGCTCGTTTCCGTGATAATGGTAGCGTAGCCCGACGTCAAGGAAGTGGATGGAAGAAAACAGCAACATCAGCACAAATGGTTCGAAAAGTTAAAAAGCGACTTGATCGAAACCAGCGTTGCAGTGGCCGAAAAATGGCTCGTGAGCTGAACATATAGCAATATTCCATCTGGCAAATATTAAAAAATTAGCTCGGGGTAAAGCCATTGAAATTCCAAAAAGTACAGAAACCTACACCGCAAAAGAAAGAAAATATACTCAAAAGAGCTAAAGAGTTGCTTCGGTTGGCCGAAAGTGATGAACTGCCGAATTTGGTTTTCTCTGATGAGAAAACATTCATTGTCCAGCAGTTTGTAAACGAACAAAATGATCGTGTTTACTTGCCAAAGAGGTCAGCTGAAAATGTGCACCTTCGGTTGGCCATTAGAACTCAAGCGCCGGCCATGGTGATGGTGTGGGCCGTCATAACAGCAGATTGTCGCTCTCCGCTCGTATTAATCGGCCGTGGCATCAGAAAAAATGCCGAACTTTATCGCGAAAATATTATGGAGGGTGTATTAAATCCTTGGGCACTCAAACATTATGGGCACAGACTTTGGACATTCGAACAAGACTCAGCACGCGCCACCCAAGAATGGTTACAAAATGAGGTTCCTCGCTTCATTTCCAGCGCACAATGGCCACCAAAATCTCCGGATACCAATCCGTTGGAGTATTTTGGAAAGCAAGGTTGGCACTAAAGAATATCAAAGTGTCGATCACCTCAAGCAAGCGCATCGCCGGGAATGGGTAAAAATACCGCAGAGCAACATTCGGGCAGCGTATGACGGTTTCATTGGCCGTTTGAAGGCCATAATTCGTACCAAAGGTGACCGATTCGAACAAATCTAAACTCATTCTAAAATTTGATGCTATTTCCGACAATTTTTGCTTTCATTCAAAAAAAAAAATAAATAAATAAAATAAAAAATAAAAAAAATGTAAAAATTATGGCGTTTGACTTTGTTGCAGTTTTTTTTATATCACGCTGTATAAGAAACCCGCTGGACTGATTTTTGACAATTTTCACACAATTCGGAATGTCTTCTTGGCAAAAAAGGATGAACACTAAGAAAATCGATTGAAAATATGTCAATAAAAATAATTTTTTGTTATATTTTGTAATATATTTTTAATTTTTGTCCTGTTCTTTTTATACCCTACACCACATAGTGGTAAGGGTATTATGTCTTTGTGCATTTGTTTGTAACATGGAGAAGGAGACGAGATAGACCCATAGTTACTTTTGAGAACCTTCATAGAATCACTTTCTGAGTCGATTTATGCATGTCCGTCCGTCTGTCCGTCCGTCCGTCCGTCCGTCCGTCCGTCCGTCCGTCCGTCCGTCCGTCCGTCCGTCCGTCCGTCTGTCCATGTATTCTTGTGAACAAAATGCAGGTCGCATTTATTATCCGATTGAGATGAAATTTTCCAAACAATATTTTTTTGGCCCAAGGACGAACCCTATTGAAATTGGTGAGAATCGGATCAAATTTAGATATAGCTCCCATATATATCTTCATCCGATTTCGGGTTAAATGAGCACCAAATGTCCACTATCAGTCCAAATTGCCTGAATTTTGGCACACCCAACCGAGTTCGGCCTAGAAGCAAGTATATCAAATTTGGAGAAAATCGGTTCAGATATAGCTATAGCTCCCATATATATCTTTCATCCGATTTGATCTTTAAGTCCCTCACAGTCCTACTATGCTCTCCACAACCGTGATATTTGGTACCAGGTATTAGATGGAGCACAGAAATAGCTGTTTTAAATTTTATCGAAATCGGTTCAGATTTGGATATAGCTCCCATATATATCTTCATCCGATTTTGGGTTAATTGACCACCAAATGGCCAATATCAGCCCAAATGGCCCGAATTTTGGCACATGTGACCGAGATTAGCCTTAAAGCAAATACCACAAATTTGGAGAAAATCGGTTCAGAAACAGCTATAGCTCCCATATATATGTTTTATCCGATTTGGTGTTTAAGCCTCTCACATTCGTAATATGCACTCCACAAGAATGATATTTGGTACCTGATATAAGATACAACCCAGAAATAGCTGTTTGTAATTTTATCGAAATCGGTTCAGATTTGGATATAGCTCCCATATATATCTTCATCCGATTTCGGGTTAATTGTGCACCAAATGGCCGATATAAGTCCAAATGGACTGAATTTTAGTACATCGGACCAAATTCAGCCTAGAAGCAAGTATATCAATTTTAGTGAAAATCGGTTCAGATATAGATATAGCAACCATATATATGTTTCATCCGATTTAGTGTTTTAGTCCCATACATTCGAAATATTCACTCCACAACCGTGATATTTGGTACCAGGTTTTTTGGAGCACAGGAATAGCTGTTTTAAATTTTATCAAAATCGGTTCAGATTTGGATATAGCTCCCATATATATCTTCATCCGATTTAGGGTTAAATGTGCACTAAATGGTCAATATCAGCCCAAATCACCTGAATTTTCGTACATAAGACCGAATTCAGTCTAGAAGCTAATACGTAAAATTTGGAGAAACCCGGCTCAGAGATAGCTATAGTTCGTAAAATGCACGATAGAATTAGATAGATTTTGATTTTGTACCAAATATCTCATAGAGCTCTGAAATGCCCTGTATAAACCTTTTTACGAGAGCTCTACTAAATATGCATAGTGGTGTAGGGTATCATATAGTCGGCCCCGCCCGACTTTTGAGCTTTCCTTACTGGTTTTTATTTTGCATGCAATTTTTCAATTTGACTTGGGGTGGGGTTAAGCTCAAAATTGAAGCACATTTTGTTTGAAGATGTATATTCAGAGGTTCTAATGGACCATAATAATAAATAATAAAATTAAAATGTCCTGGATTTTGCAATTACAACCAAACGACACGAATTTTCGCATAAGGTTAGAGTTTAGGACAGGGCAGAAGTCTACCATTGGCCATCGGATCATATTTAGCTGGTAAAATGGATCACAAATATGTGAGAAATAGTTTTGAATAACGACTAGTGTGACAGAAATGTAAGACAAATGTCAAAGGTCAAAAATCAAAGGTAAAATTGTTGCAGAACCGGTTTGCAATAATTCGAAAACGAAAACTACCAAAATAAATTTAGACCTTAGGGCTTAATGTATTGAAAATATATATGTAAGGTGAATTTTCATCCGAAGTGTAGCAAAATGGTTTATTACAGTTAATTCTTGACTTCAAATAACTGATAGTAGAATTGACATATCTGAATCGACTTAAATTTTTATGCTGATCAAGAATATATGAACTTTATGAGGTCTCAGATGTATATTTCGATATATTGCAAACGGAGTGAAAACATTAATATACCCTCCATCTTGTGGTATAGGTAACAACCGAGAAAGCTATAA